TATTGGTTTCTCCTTGGACAATTCTCCTACCCCCTTGTGAAAACACAAATCTATATATGGAAAACCTACAGATCCCTGCTCATCCCTTTTTGATATCCAGAGACCTATTTTTAATAAGGCTACGACCATTGTCTTTTACTAATAACCTGATTAATATTATGTTACCCAACTCTTAAAAATCATACACATTTGGTAAATTTAACCTTGTTAAATTTGTTAAATTTATAGATGATCTGCCAGCAAAATTTCTGGCTAGAGATCAAATGCGAATCAAATAAAATCTATATTGAGCACCTACTGGGTGAAATGAAAGTCCTGTGCTGGGAGCAGCGAGACTTTAAAGATTATGAACAATTTAAAAGATTAACAAGCATTAAAACAAGATGGCTTGTAAAAATACTATAATCCAAGCTGTTAGCAAACCTTAAAAAGAACAGGAGTGCCGTGGGAGTTCCGGGAGAGTACTACTGCTACTCAAGGACAGGACCGTGGAGAAGTTTAATGCTGGAGGATACAGAGGATTCCAACAGACAGGGGTTTCAGGAAGGACGTTCCATCCCCAGGGAAGAGGATGGAAAGGCACACTGGAGGGGCAAGAGCGAGGGGTCTGCAGCATGTTTGGGGAATGGTTTACCATCCTTGATCCAGACCCCAGGAAACATAAAGGGAAGTACTGTCATTTAGGAAACAAAATATGCTAAGGTATGAGGTCTTTACTTTCAGACAACAGGTACCATAGTAAATTATTAATATTAGAAGACCTTATGAATGTTATTAAGCTCATTCTCACAATAGCGTACACAGGAAATTGGGTAGAGAAGAGAACAGAGGTGGAGAAGTTAATTTGAAACTACTGCAATTGTTCAAAAAAGAAACAAATGGAGCCGTGACTTCAGGGTGATGTCACTGTGAATAAAAAGGTGAACACAGCACACAAAGAATGCAGGTGAAGGGAAGCATGGCAAATTAAAGATGCCCACAGATTCTGACGCTCCTCCCATTGAGAGGTGGGCCTATGTTCCCCACCTGGAATCTGGGATGGCTCTGTCACTGCTTTCCTCAGTCAAATGCAACAGAAGAGATGCTGTGCTAGTTTCCAAGTTCGGGCTCTATGTGACTGGTAGTTGCTACTTCCTGTCTCTTCAAATACGTTCTTTGGGACATGGAGACACAAGGTCAGAATCCCAACTTCCCTGAGACTTCCTGCATCAATAAGCTAGGGAGACCACATTCAGATGCTGTGGTTGGCAGGTCATGCTGCACCCAGCTTCTGACCCATCCAATCCTGCTGAGGCACCAGATATGTGAGCCAAGCTGGAACCCACTGAGTGACTTCAGGAAGCATCGTGAGAGCATAAGAATCATCAGGTTGAG